TGTTAAAATAAATAAATAAAAACACACCTGCCTTAATCTTCAGAACCACATGAGGCAATGCATTAAAGAAAGACATGGCTCTGAAGTAGGAATCACTACATAGGCTCAAAATTACTATCAAAACCCACTGTGAGTGAACAGCTTGCCCGATGATCTTAAACAAAGCAAAACTCTAGCACAGTTTAAAAGTAAATTAAAGCAGCATATGATTGTAAACTACATACAAAAGGGATTTTTGTTTTGTCACACTAATTATATTGTAAATGGGTATTGTATACATGAGAGATTTGAAGTATTCTAAGTATAATATAAGTGTATATTTGTGTGTATAAATGTGTATATTGTAGCATCAAGACAACTCTGTGTGTGAAACCCACACATTCCTTGCAGGAAAGGTCCCTTATCTGGTCCCAGGACACAGGACAATATAAATCTTTCCAGACTTGTTTGCAATTTCAGGTTACCTAACTGACCCGACCGGAGGTCGACCAAAACCTCTGGCTCTTCAAAATTGGTCAATTTGGAGAACAGAGACAGAGTTTTTTATTCTAAAGAAATATATATATATATATTTAAATATATATATATACATATATATATTGTAATGAGACAACTGCTTTCTGCTATCCACCTTGAATTCACCCCTCAAAGGAATGCAGGCTCCTCTGGTTTGGACAGGAAATGGGGGAGTAACGGTTTGCACACCAAGTTCCCATTTACGACCCAGGCAACCATTTGGGAGGTGATAGTGAATCTTTAACGCTTCCCAAAAAGGACAAGTTGCTTATCAACCACACAGACCCATAAACACGGAGTCTCTCACCCTGGTTGGGAAAGATCAGAATTGACACTTCAGGATTAACCCAATGACCTAGGGGGGAAAACAGGCCAGTTGGCGCCAAATCTGAAAAACCAGATACCTGCCATAAATTCCTTGGCTTTCTTTGCAGAGCAGAAGGAAGAGGATGCCTGAAAATGGTTTAACTTCTTGTTTAATGGACACTTCACCAGAATTTTCTGTCTGTACACCACATTCTTAATGAAATGGTCTTTTTCCCAATTCTGTAACATGTCCACAAGCCAAACTGTTAACTTCACAAATTTATTCCAGGTTTTCCATGGACCAAGAGCTCCTCCTAGTGGTGATGCCTGAATATGGTTTGATCAGAGCCAAATGGCAGGAATCTAATCACGTGTATTTCTTTCCTTTTGTTATACACCTCGTAGCTTAGTAAATGGTATTCCCAAGATAGGCTAGTAGTTTAGAAGTAGTAACGTGAAACTCGTTTAGACTCAAGTTAAGAGTTTCGGAATGTATCCATATTATGTTTTATCTACCTCACACAAAAATATATATTAATCATCTAGGAAGCTTGATTGACAAGGTTATAATGTTGTCAAATATTATTACGTATGTGTTTCTTATGCTGGATGGTGTTTCTGTTCGAATGGATAATTTGTTTTCTGTCCCTCTCTAACTTTTAAAAGTCGTTAATCCTCTGTAGTGTCAAGAAGACGGCTGATCAAAGTTTACTGTTTTCAATGTCATGCTTTAATGCGTCTGCTCATAAGAAACAATGAAGTGAAATGTGATCGTATGTGATGTTACAAACAGTTTAATCATAGTGAGTGAGTAAATTAGATCTAGCTCGCTTTTAATATCAAGTTGAGTTAAATTCGCTGCCAGTCGATGTGCTGCATCGGGTTACAGCATTGGCTGTAACTTTCCTCTTGGCTCACGCCCACACGGGATGGTTTAAAAGGAGCCCGGGAGTCTTTGCTCGCTCTCTTCTGTTTTAGTCTTCAGTTTTTTTCTTCTCTTCAGTTTTTACTCTTCAGTTTTTGTCTCCTCCGTTTTTGTCTCTTCTGTGTTTTCTTTTGTCTTCGTCTATCGTTCGCAATTTTTCCCCGCGTTTTATTAAGTGCCTTAAGCTCAGATTTTTATTCTAAACTTGGATGAAAGCATTCCCAAGTCCTTTAGAGCCTCAGTAACAAGCTGCGCGCATAAGAGAACCTCAGTCTAAGTCTTTTTATTTTTGTTCGCTAAAGTGACTCCTGAAGATAATATCGGCTGGCCAGCGAAATTATTTTCTTAAGTTATTGGCGCGAATTAATCTGCAACCAAGCAAGTCCTGAACGCCGACCAGCATCATCTGCCAAGCTGCTTTGCCACCTGGTTCCGAGAGGCCCAGAGATCCGAAGTATCTAACGGCGCTGACACGGTCCTGAAGCTGAGATCCAGACACGGCGGAAGAACTCCCCGCCGAACCTTCAGTATCCGGTCCGGTAGCCACAGAACTTCAGCTGATCCATTCCAAGGGTGCCGCTGAGAACCGACGTCCAAAGTAGGCTAAATCCTCTAAACTGCTGTGATGAGAACTGGGTGATGCCGTCAACCGTTCAGTAGCTTACCCTTATAAGTTATAGTTTAGTTCTCCAAATTCCTTTTATTTACCCTCGTAACTCCGTTAACGTAGGTTAAATTTCCCCTTATTCACTCACTATTATTAACCTCCAGTCTTAGGTTTGATTTAAACCATTCCTTCGTTTATTCATTAGATGTGCTTTGATTTGCTCATTATTTGATCATCATTTATTGACGTTTTGTTATCATATAGCTTGTTAATAAATTGTCCATTTAATTCTAAGTTGTCGTCTTAGTGGTCTTTCAGAAAGTAGTCCCTGAATGAAGAATTCCGGCCTCAGATGAGAGACTGATTTAAATCTGTGTAAGACTGATCCAACGTTTAATTACTCAATTGAACTTTGTTTCGTCCTTTTTCCCACCAGAAAGGTGGGTGGTGCCCCTTCAACGAGTGCATAAATGTCATAATTTAATTTGATTAATTTTCGACATTTATTTTGAATTTTAAATCGCGACAATATATATATACACATATATATATACATTTATATATATATATATATATATATATATATATATATATATATATATATAATATATACTCCGTTGTAAAACTCTGCTCAACCATGTCCTGATAAAAACTGCGTACCTTTGGAGAAAAATACAAATGACTGATCATGACATCTTGTGCATTCAACAATGTACTAATCTGTCTAATCATGAAATTTGTGTTAAAATTGGATGTTTCCCATTTTTCTATGTGCTCCAGAAGCTGAGTTATCACTCTGACAGAATAAATCCTTTATTCTTCAGTTTCTTTAGACCAACAGCTTTTCAGACTGTTTCATGAACTTTTAAGAGTTAAAGTGATTGACTATGACTCATAACTTTACTCTAAGTAACAGAAATGGTTTAGAAATGTTTGGTTTATATTTTAATCATTTATTTAGTCTTTTTAACCATTAGGTGGTTATAATGTCATTGAATAATCTGAATGTGAGTATTTAGAATCTAATATTACTATTATGATAAAGTTCATTCACATGTATTTACTCTTTTGTTGTTCACAGTTTCTATGTGTTAGCATCTGTTTCATTCCAGAGTAATTTAGCATGTTCAATGTAAAACTTAAAACATAATAAGAATGTTTGATGTGGTTCTACATTTCTTCGTGTGTTTAGTATCAAATCACTTATTATGAACCAAATGTTCAGTAACATTAATCATAGTGAGTGAGTATCAGATCTGGCTCTTTTACCAGCCAAAAGTTTAAGTTTGATCAAATAATCAGGGTCCTAATTGCACCATGACCCCTCCTCTCACTGCTCACACACAGACCCCCAGAGACACTCCCAATGTGAAGGAGATAAGACCAGTATAGTTGGAGTGCTCACTCTCTTATTCCTCTTGTTTTCCTGGTCTTCTCTTAGTCCTGTTCTGTGTTTTACTCTCTGATCCTCTTAGCTCGTACTCTTACTACTTAGTCTTACTTTTGCTTAGACTTCTAAGTTTTATGCCATGTGTTCATTCACGTTGTTTGATTTTTCTTTAAGTTGTGAAACTTTTTGCCACATAGATATCCAAGATTAAGCCTTTTAATTGATTTTTCTTTAATTTCACAAAGCCATTTTTGAAATGGTTGCGATTGGCCATTATTTATTATAAATTCAAATCACTACGATATAGGTATGGATGTATATATGTTCATATAAGGTCTTTGTTTTAGTATTAATTATAAGATATATATTCACACTAGACTTTGTAGCTTTGGTTATTTTTTGGCAACATCAGAAATTCTTAAGACATGTAAAGGGTAAATAAATAGGAAGGAATGAGGTAGGTTCATATAATAGTGAAGTGGCCAAAGTCCTGCGACAAAACGCTGTGGAAGGAGATCAACACTGATCTCTGCAACATCCTAGAAGGGATTAGAGGGCCCACCATAAAAAAGTTGGAGAGTATGGGCAACCTAATCTATGCCTATGGAGTGGAGCGGTTCGTCAAATCACACCAACTCCACAAGGCAGACAGAAATAGACCGACTTGTCAAGGAAAGAAGGCAGCTGAAGAAGCAATGGAGGAAGGCCACAGAGGAGGAGCAGGAAGGTATAAACCTGCTGCAGGAAGAGATTCAGAGCAGGCTTGTGACACTGAGGAGGGCTGAAAACCTCCATAGGAAGCGCAAAAGGAAGGAGCAAACAAGATCAAGCTTCTACAAAGATCCCTTCAAATTGTGAAGAATCTCTTCATGAAGGAGAAGAGCGGAAGCCTCTCAGTGTCGAAGGCTGCCCTGGAAGAACACCTGAAAAAGTCTAGCACAGATGACCGACACCGGGAAGAAGTTTTGCTCCCATCCACCAGTTAATCCACCAGAAGACGAGCTAGATATCAGTCCACCCAGATGAAGCGAGGTAGACAAAATAGTACACAGAGTAAGGGCCGCATCAGCTCCAGGTCCCAACAGAGTTCCATACAGGCTCTACAAAAACGCACCAGATGTCCTGCGATTCCTCTGAAAAATAGTGAAAGTCGTGTGGCAGAAGAAGGAGATACCAATGTCCTGGCGGAGAGCCGGAGGGATCCTGATACCCAAGGAAAAGGATTCATCAGAAATCGGCCAATTCCGCCAGATCAGATGGAAATGTCAAGGGAAAGATCTTCTTTAGTGGCAGGCTACCTACAAAGAAACAACCTGATTGACACGTCAATCCAGAAAGCAGGTATCTCAGGCATCTGGCATCAGATCCAGGTCACCAAGAAGGAAGGAGCAGACCTTCACGTCGTGTTCCTGGATCTCGCAAGTGCCTGGGTCCCACCAGCTCTTACAACCCTTGTTAAGGCCTACTTCCAGGATATCCAGCTCTGCGTGACAACAGCTGAGTTTACCACAGCATGGCAACACCTAGAGGTGAGAATCATGGCTGGCTGCACCATCTCCCCCCTGAGCCTTCACCCTGGCCATGGAGGTCATCATCCGCGCCTCTCGTTGATTGGTTGGTGGACAGTGAATAAAACCTGGACTGAGGCTGCCACCAGTCATAGCCTACATGGATGACCTCACAACACTCACCGTGACCAAGGCTTGCACTGTACAGCTACTAGGAAAGCTCCACGAAAACATCAAGCTGGCTCGCTTGAAGATCAAACCGAGCAAGTCCAGAAGCATCTCCATTGTCCAGAGGAAGCTGACACACCACTGCTTCCATATTGGCAAGGAACCCATCCCAATGGTCTCTGAGAAGCCATTGAAAAGCCTAGGATGCTGGTATGATGTCTCCCTCAAAGGAAAAGAGCAAGTAGAGCAGCTCAGGAAGGAGGTAGCCAGTGGCCTGGAAACATCAAAAGAACCCTGCTTCCTTGCAAGCTGAAGCTCTGGAGCATGCAGTATGAACTACTTCCATGTGTTCTGTGGCCACTAACTCTATGAAGTTCCTCTCTCAAAGGTGGAAAAGTTTGAAAGGGTGGTCAACGCATACATAAGGAAGTGGCTTGGCCTTCCCAGATGCCTCAGCAGCATTGCACTCTATGGAAAAGGTAAGTTACACCTGCCCTTTTCCAGTCTGGCAGAGGAGTACAAGTGTGCCAAAGTGAGATTGGAGATGATGCTCCTGGACTCAAGCGATCCGTTTGTAGCTCTAACTGCCCCCACCCTGGCCACTGGGAGGAAGTGGACCCCATTGGCTGCAACTGAACAGACAAAGGCGGCACTCAGACACAGGGACATCGTGGGCCAAGTGCAGGAGGGGAGGAGTGGTCTTGGTCTCAGGGCCAGTACACCGGCCTAGAACAAGGCCAATCCATCTGAGAGACGCAAGCTGGTGGTACAGGAGGTATGTTGGGAAGAGGAAGCAGGAAGGCATGCAAAAGCGGTGGTGCAGGAAAAGCAAGGGCAGTGGAATGCATAGGAAGGAGTGTAGAAGAGGAAGATCTCTTGGAAAGATTTGTGGGAGATGGAGGCATCCAGAGCGAGCTTTACCATCGGGGCTGCCTACGATGTCCTACCTTCTCCTGCAAACCTAAGCCATTGGTATGGCAAAGACCCCACGTGCCCTCTATGTCCAAGTCCAGCAACACTGAAGCACATCTTAGTGGGATGTAAGACCAGCCTCACCCAAGGCCATTACACCTGGCGGCACAACCAGGTGTTGAAGTGTCCTGCAGCAGTGCAGGAAAGTTGCAGAACAAGCGTGAACTCCCTCCTCCCCCGTCATCCTGTTGGAAGCCAGCATCATTTGTTCGGGAGGGCAAGGGTCAAGCTAGCCTCACCACCGCAAGACCAGACAATGGGCAACTGGGCGGAGCACCTGAACATGAAACTCTGCTTTCCAGCTGAGATTGCATCGACCAACCTGCGACCAGACCTTGTTTTGTGGTCAGCCTCACTCAAACTCGTCTACATCATCGAGCTCACTATACCCTGGGTGGGCGCAGTGGAGGAGGCCTATGAGCGGAAGAAGCTGAGGTACGCTGAACTCGCAGCAGATGCTCAACAGCAAGGCTGGAAAGCCAAGGTCTGCCCAGTGGAAGTAGGATGCAGAGGGTTTGTAGCCACCTCAACAACTAGGCTACTCAGAGAGATGGGAGTGCAAGGAAAGGCACACTGGCAGGCAGTCAAGGACCTCTCTACTGAAAAGTGTCTTTATTCTGTTTCTGTGGTGCAGTTTTTTACCTGCACTTGTAGATGCAGTGACAAACTGTGTTTATATATTGTTTATTTCATCAAATATACAGTTCAACAAAACAAGGAATTCCATATTTTGAATTCCATGACTTTGAAATGAAAAAGCTTTTCTGCTTATGCTTTTGAATTTGAGATATGAGTCACAATCGCTTTCATACTCCAGAGGGTTCAACAGCGAAACCCAGTGTCCCAGGCTCCCTTCCTAGATGCCATCAATTCACCTACAGGCCCTCATGGAGTCATTTCTTTTCATCCAAAAACTTCCCCTTAGTTTCATGTGCATACATGAAAGCCAAGGCAGAAGAGCAGCAGCAGTCGCATGTACTCACTGTTACCTGAGTGGAGAATCAAAGAAAAAGAAGATAACAGAGCTTGATGAGGGTGTGTGTTTATCGTGTAATTGTCCTCTCAACTGACTCAAACAAAGGCGCCACCCAGTGTCGTCCTGGTGATGTTGACGTTGTTAAAGGAACATTACAACTGTTACCAACTGTATGTCCATTTGCCCTGTATTTTTGAGGAACTGAAGTCCCGACTGGTTGATGTTGTTGACCAGCTGGACACGAGACTTGTAATGCAATCATTGGATTTTTGAATTTATGGTCACTAAAGAGGGGGTTATTGTAAGAGTTTAGCTTCGCTGACACCAGGTGAAGCCATAGAGCCATTGTTAAGTGCTGCATTCAAAACTATAGTATAAAAAATGAATCATTAAATCATCAATGAATCATCATCTCCATACAAACAAATGATATTCTTTTGACTTGATCTTTTTCAGATTCTGGCACTCAAATATACTCTTGAGGGCTGCACCATACTGATTACCATGAGTGCTGTTAATTTGTGTGAAGCCAAGGAGATGTCACTCAAAATATGATCTCACACACCCACACAGTCCTGAGAAGTGGTCTACACAGGAAAATGAGCTATGAGTATGAACCTTTTTTTGCACACTAAAGTGTATGAATGCTGTATAATCTATACATTTTTTGATTTAATAGAAATATATGTTGTACCAGTTTTTCAGAGGCTTACATTGAATGTCAGTAATTATTTTAAATTTGCAGCGAAAGTATTTAAGGTAGATCAAGTGATATCTGGAGACTTTTCAATGAACCAGTCCAGATTTGGATGGGAGGCTGTAGAAACTAAGGAGACAAGAGCAAGAGCTTTGAAAACAGATTATCACAGCCACAGAGTTTCAGTATGTACTTTCTCAAGTGCTGGGTGGTGTGAAGAACACAGCTACTATGAGACCTGTATCCATGGTGACTCAGCCGTAAGCAGCAGCCCCTGGATGATAGAAAATGCCTTGTTGCTCTAAGGCCCATTTCTTATCAGAGATGGAGGGAAACAAGTGTGACCAGTGTGACAATGGAAAGTCCCATACCACCCTCTGACTGTCATACAGCAGTGATTTATACTGCAACCCTGACTTTCTGCAACTGAAAGGCTTCGTTAGCCTGAAAATGAAAAGGGGAATCACCAACTGGATATAAAATACAGAATGCTACCTGAGCTGTCTCTTTGAAATCACAATTTAAGACCCCAGCTTCCTGTTTTATCAGATTTTATGGCTAAAGGGTGAGCATCATGATCAAATACAAGCCCAAGTCTTGACATTATCAGGGACATTACATGAAACTGAATGGTTTGGTTGATTGGCAGCCTTTGATAAATGTAAGAGCCCAAATCTTTTATTTTTTCATGACACAGTGCAACAATATTTTACTAGACGGTAACTAAAGAAATTTAAGACTAAGCTCTCGCAGTGAAGAATTAAAGTATGGTCCCCTTCAAAAGAGGTACATGTGACTTTGATAAGAATTTGTAATCCCTCATTTAGACGAAAAGACAAACTATGATCCATTTTTTACCCCACTCCTATTTGAGTTTTCAAAGAATTATATTTATTTTTCAACATTAATATTTGGGGCTCTATTTCCATGCCTGCCTGCGCACAGCCAGTTTGCTATTTTGGTAGACTGAGGCGCACCGAGGTCCGCCAAGCTGGGCGTGGCAGTGCAGTAAAGGGAGATGTCAACAGAATCAGCTGGCGCAGTGACATTTCCGTGCCTGCCGGCGGTGTACCAAGTGCACTGAAGCTCACCAATTTAAACCTGGTAAGCTTTCAGCGCAGGCAGAGCACAGCTGTTCTAGTGGTATTTTAGTAGACCGGCAGAGCAGTGCCCACATGTCACCGATGCCTCACAGGCAGTTTTCAGTGTCAGGCACATTTCAATGCAATAAATAATCAACAACAACTAATATTCAGTGCAACTGTCTGAGTCATCTCATACATTTCGATCTATATCAATATATTCTGATCTATAGCTCATCTGATGAGCGCATTTGGATGGTCAACCTGACTGAATTAACACAGCTGAAAAGGCATTAAATTAAATATCCAGTAGATAGTCAGAAATGAACGTTAACAAGATATTTAATTTGTCTCCCCCTTTTTCTTTCTTTCTTATCTTTCTCGTGCAGCTCAACCTGGACATGTCTCTGTGTCCTCTCCCCGTCCTGCTGCCGCTGCTGTGGCAAGGCTGACCAGATGAGTTATTTTAGTAATCATATGAGTTATACTTAAAAAATAAAGGAAACTTTCATTAAAAAGTACCTGTTTATCTGATGTTTCACATCCTTACAATCCTGACTTATGCCACGCCGCTGACGAGGCACAAAAATAGAGCCAATAGTATCAACTTGCTTATGTCTTTAGTTGGTAGTTAATAAGTTAGATAATGTATTGTTTGCTGGCGTATGAACCAAATACAACATAGAGTACAGTACAAAACAAAATAGAAGGCAGGTCCAAAAAAATGTGACCATGGCCTTGATGTGAATAGGTGAATAACAAGAGACATGAATATCTGTAGCTTTATGAGCTAATTTGATGCTGACTGTAATCACATCTTTGTCATGTTGATTAAAATCTGATGGGTTATTATCCTCTTAATGAGTGCAGAGTCAGCATGTCATGCTCATGATGAATGGAGGTCAATGACAGCAATAGTTTCCTTAAATGACCGATGAGTATCAGCCAGCTCATGAGCAAAAAAACACTGCTCTACATTTGGTAGACAGTATGAGGTTCATAAGTGGGTTAGGTTAAACAGGGGCTTCCTCTGTGCCTTCCCTCAGCGCTGATTTATCCTCTATGTAAGGCATGGATTTGTTTAGTGATCTGCAGGCTGCTGCTTAACTTTCCTTTGGTTATGTTTGCTCTCATTACTTGTAAACTTCCCTTGTTTGACATCTGTGGTTTGCTGCTGTGGTATCTCTGACGTATTTTGCTACTTTTAAATGAATTATTAAGAGCGCAGAGATGCATTTTTTCTTTGCAGAGGGACTTTTTGAACTCTTCACATCACAAACCCTTTAGGGTTGGAGGAGAGGAAGAAAAAACTTCACATATGAAGCTTATTTGCATCTGGTTATTTCCCTTTGGTGGAAATTAGCCCATTACCATGGCAACAACCATGCATTGTTAATGTGGTCTAAATCTGTGTCTCTTATTGAATCTTTAATCAAATTTTAATTAACAATCTACTCAATGAACCCCCCTAATTAACACACAAAGTCTGTTTGCAAGTCTTTGTTTTCAACAGGGTTTTTTTGTAGGCCAATGTAATTTCAGAGAGTTAATCGGATCACACTGTCAACAATCTTATATCATACTGT